AAACTTGGTGAGCACCATTTCCATACAGACAGCTTGAACATGCCTCTGGGGTCTCAAATTTTGCCTATGATAAATGAAACTCTTGAGCCCTGCTGTAGCTCTATGACTCAAACAGAAGATGAATTCTGATGTGAAGAGAACACATTAATGGGATTGGTCAGCACCTTGTTTCCATGGAGACACAAAGTTCTCCCTCACCACACAAGGAAAGTGGAATTCTATTAGTTAACATGAGCTGTGAAGACTGGAAGGTAGGTTTGCTTAAACACAAAATTATATTCATCGGTAGAGGTAAGTAGTATTTCTCAGTGTCCACATTGGGAGAGCAGATAGGGAAAGCAGACTAAGGAACACATTTCAGAAAGATGAAATGCTGCAGGCTCTGAAGTCCATGGAGCAAGAGGACCTTCAGGCAAGAGGTGTGAGAAAACTCTAGAAATAGAGAAAGAACAGATTCACACTTCCAGCATCCAAAGGAATTCACCTGACAATATTTTGACTTTAGTCCATTGATTTTGTTCTATACAAGTATAAAGTGATGAACTGCTCATTTTATGGCACTGAGGTTGTGCTAAATTATTCTAAAAGGAATATCATTCCTAACCAGTTCAAGTCATCATAGCACAGTGACACACACATACCCGTGTTTATATCAGCCTAGTTCATAATAAGTAAATCAAGGAAGCCAGTTATATATATATATATATATCATTAGATAATTGAATAAAGAAAATGTGGTGTTTACACAAAGGGGAAAACACTCTGCCATAAAGAAGGATACATTTGAGGCATTTGCAGGAATATCAAAGCACCTCAAGACCATTAACTTAATTGGAAGAAACATGCAAGCTTCAATGTCACGTGGCTTCTCTGGTGTGAGAACTCAAAATATAAATAAAGAGTCAATAAAGGACAGATAACAGGAAGTAAAAATATCTTTTTCAAATGGGATTAACAACAAGATGAAATTGAAGGAAGAAGGGGAAAGGGATTTAAAAAAGAGATTCTCAAAGAAAAAATGGAAATAGAGCTTTTTCACAAAGGAGGAGGAATCCAGGCATAGTGGCATAAGCCTGTAATCCCAGCACTTGGGCTACTGAGGCAGGAGGATCGCTGTGAGTTCGAAACCAGCCTGGGCTACATAGTAAGTTCCAGGTCAGTCTCAACTACACAATAAAACCCTATCTCTGAAAACCAAACGGGGGGGAACAGAGGAGGAGGAGGATTAAGATTTGCAGGGAGAAAGGAGAGATGGGAGGGGGAGAGTGCAAAAAAAAGAATCAAGATGGATAAATATTCACATACGAAATCCCATGATAAATGTGATCACTGTGTACTGCAAGCATGTACTGATAAAAATATGGTAATCATAAATAAATAAACCAAGCAACCTAGGGCCTTCACCCTGCAAGAAAAAAATGAATATGAATCTAATGCTATATTGTCCTATAGCAAAGCATCTACGAGATATGGTGCCCCCTAACTTTCATCTAAGCCCTGCAGACTTTCTCCTGCATAAGTTAGGACAGTCTCTCAGGCAGAGGGAGTAAGTGGTCAAGCCCAGGGATGTGGAGGAAACATGAGAGGAAGTTTATATTTAAGGCTGACTCACTGCAGGAGGAGCACTCTAACTCTGCCACATGGTCATCCTGCAAGCTGGTGATGGTCAGTGAAATTTGTCCCAGATCCACTGCCTTTGAACCTGTCTGGGACCCCAGAATCCCTGGTGAATGTCTGGTAGATAAGCAGTATGGAAAACTGTTCTGGTTGCTGCTAATGCCAGGATAAGTCATTACATCCCATCGCAAGAAACTCTGGCTGGACTTGCAGCTGATGGTGACCCTCTATCCTGCAGACACAGTCAAGGATCCTGGAGACTGGGTCATCACAATGTCCCCACAGGCACCTGCAGTCAGAGATGGATAATGATCATACACACACAGACACACACAGACTTTGTCTTTTAAATGTTGAATTAAGTCATTTTAAATACTGACTCTAATGCTGTGGTAAGTTAGCATATATTAGGCTCATATAATTTGTCATTGCATTTTTAAATTATAATGTTAATTCTAGAAAGATATTGCTCTCAGGGATTTGGAACTGTTCAGTTTCTCACCAGAGACCCAGAGCAACAGGCACAGGAAGACCTGGGTCTTTGTTGGCATCTTGATCCCCTGCCTCCTGATGGAGCTCAGATCTCCTTGCAAAGGCCTCCTTTATAAACTCTGAGAAGTTTGTCTGGCTCTGGAGGAGTCTATTCATGAAAAAATGAGGAAGCAAATTACATGGGCAATGAGACATAAAAGTATCTGATTAAATGAAGAGACAAATATACCATAACAAAAAGTTTTCTTAGCTGACAATAAAAGCATAGTAGTCAATCCTGAAGCTCTGAGATTAGCTTAGACGTTCTAAAATTACAAACCACTAGGTGGTATAGTCAAGGATGTTAGTTTCAACAACCTTACTTGTATAATAAAACATTGCAGAAAAAACAAGAATACAAAAAAGAGTAAAACAAAGGAGAGTGGGGAAAGAGGGATGAAAAAAGGAAAAGACAAAATGAAAATGACAATTTCTAAACAAATTTATGATTTATATGATGAAAAAATATCTGTTTCCAAAGCCATATGCCATAAAGAACACAGCCAACACCTGAGCTCCAGTTTCTTCCCTGTGCTTGGGCTGCACAGTCAGGTGATGGACCCAGAATTCACACTGTGAGGCATCCTGTGGGGCCCTGGTGTAAGCTGGGGGCCAGAAGGGCTCCGTGTAACTGGAAATCAAACACAGGCAGAAAACTCTCCTTTCCACAACTACCAGGAACTGAAAAAGAGGGGTCCAAGTAAACCTGAAAATTCGGAGGGAATAAAAGTAACATTTAACTTGGAAGTAAAGTATGCAGAGCAACACTGCCAAAGATTTTTTACTCCAAAAACATAGAAATCAACAATCATGAAATTAGTTTAAAATAGGGTTTCCGATTATAAGCTACCCAAGTTAAAACTTCCCTGAAGGAAGAAACTTGCATCCTAATTCCTCAAGAAATCTTACAAATTATTGTTTCATGGTAAGCAAACTAGTAATTCAGATACATGGTATCTTAGAACAAAGAGATAATTTAGGTATGAATGAAAAATAACAGAAATTATATGGCAAAGTGTTATTTTGAGGTATCAGACTAGCAGTCATGACAATTTTAGAAATCAATTTATTAATGTATTGTAGTTTAGAATTATTTGATTTAAATTCAAAGCATAAGAAGCTAAAAAATGAAATGGGATGAATCACCTAGGCATTACTGAAATCTGTGTATTTCATACACTGTACAAATTGATTAATTTATCTTGAAATTTTAGCAGTAAGCCAGAAGCACTGTTCACATTCAAGTAGGTTTTAGTTTTTCCACTTACTCAATTTGATTTTCCTTAAGTAATTTTTTCAATTTTTATACATGAAACATTATTGAAATAAATTCTTGTAATCCAATTCAAAAATTGTATAAGATTACCAGGATACCATAAACTAAGACAGAGGGGGTGAGTGTGGTGCCTCATGTCTGTAATCCCAACACTCAGGAGGCTGAGGCAGGAGGACCTCTGCGAGTTTGAGACTAGCTTGTGCTGCACAGTGAGTTTCAGGACAGTCTCAATGACATAGTGAGACCCTGTCTCAAAAAACAAAAATAACAACAACTAAGAAGATGGGGGTTAGAGGTGGAGGGAAGAGGGGGAGGGAAGAGGGAGAAGGAGCGAGGGTCAGCAGACATGTAAACGTTTCTGCTTCTCTCTGGATGAAGCAGACTTTTGCACCTGCCAAGTTCTCTTGACTTGAATCCAATCGTGTAGTCTACTCACGAGGTCCAGGAGAAGACCATCTCTACCACTTGTTACTACCATTCTCAGTGTTTAAAGCACATATAAAAACAGAAGGTAAAAACAGCCACAACCTTTTATTTCTGATTTTTCAAAAAACAATAGTTGCTTATTTTCCCACAAGCCACAATGTGCAAGGGGCCGCATAGAGAGTGGGTGAATTAGATTCCTTGGGCTGTCATAAAAATACTGTAAATGTGTTGACTGAAAACAACACGGGTTTATCTTGTCAAAGCTTGGGAGGCAAGAAGACTTTAATGAAAGTTCTTCAGCAGCTCTGAAGCCACACAACTTTGCATGGAGACCATCTGTGAAGACCATCGCTGAAGGAGCCAGGAGGATGTCAGTCCGAGGTTCAAGTTACACTGAGACTTTACAAGACACGGCTCATTCTTGATCCTCTAAGGCATGGACACATGGTTTGTGACACATGAAGGTGGTGGCCCAATACTGATGGCAATACTGATGGCAAGAAAGAGGAAACTTGGGAAGGATTTTTCTATATTGATTAGAAAAATGTGAATGTAAAATTACACCTTGTTTACTCTTACCAATGACATCAAAGGAGTTCTTGCCTTAAGAAATGTTTGATTAATCTCATGTGTAGAGAAACAGCTAAGCATAACAGTGGATCAGTTTAAAAAGTAGTTACCAAGAAGTTTGTGTTTGCTATGTAGAGCACGGCAATACTGATGGCAAGAAAGAGGACACTTGGGAAGGATTTTTCTATATTGATTAGGAAAACATGAATGTAAAATTACACCTTGTTTACTCTTACCAATGACATCAAAGGAGTTCTTGCCTTAAGAAATGTTTGATTAATCTCATGTGTAGAGAAACAGCTAAGCATAACAGTGGATCAGTTTAAAAAGTAGTTACCAAGAAGTTTGTGTTTGCTATGTAGAGCATTCTCTAGATGAAAATGACAATTTGTTTCACCTCCCCGTGTTAAAATTGAGTTCTGCTATGGAGACTGATCACTGAGTTTTGGGAGATTATTTCTAACCCTATTCCTAGCATCCTGATTGTTGCTTTGGTAACAGCAGATGCTAGAAACACTTGACTAATTCCACTCCATAATGTTGATGATAGAAAACTCAGTTGGTTTATTACTCCACTAATCTATGTGTGCTCCTCCTGCAGTGGTGCAAAAACCTGCTGCTTCAGGTGGTCCAGCCGCACCCATGTGTTGCTTGTCTGGGAAGCAGCACAGCAGGTTTTCTGCATCTGTGTAAGAAGAAAATTGTAGAGAATTCAGGAAAAGCAGCTGGGAGTCTGTGTCCCATAGGTGCCTCAGCTACACAGCAGCAAAAAGCCCTTCACACCTGTGCCATTTACAACAGCCTTAGCATTACATACGTATTAGAAAAATAGAAATAAACTAAGTACTCATCCAATAAATGACAGAGAGGGAGATTACAGCTGGATCTTTTGACTAAAAAGTAGAGGGTGATATAAATTTTCTGTATCACTTACAAATTCTCTTCTTTTTTAAGTGGAAATATAGATAAACTGACAAACACCAAATGTCATCAGCTGAACTAATTCATTAATT